CGATTGATGATGTACCACGAAGGTGGTAGAGAGGTGACCGAAGACCTCGAGGCGCAGATCGCGTTTGGCGATGGCGGATTTCATAAACACAAAATTTGACGAAAAACGCAAAATTTGACGAAATATTGAATTCTCTGAATTTTGTATCACGGTGGTTTCTTAAAAACTGGTGTTTTCTGACATTTTTTGCGGCAGCAAGACTCACCCAAATCGTTTTAATGTGGAGCACCTGAACGACGAAGCGCGCTGCGTGGATGGCCGACACCAAGCTTTGGTGAAGTGGCTTGGACTCGACGATGAGGAATCGTCCTGGGAGCCTGCGGCGAATTTGCTGGACGACATTCCAGTCGTATTTCGCAAGTGGGCGGCGGTGAACAAGGAAGACCCTGCCGTGGCCGCCCTCATCAAGACACTGGACTTTCCGTAGGAGGGGAAGTGTTCTGCAGCGTGCAGAGCAATTGGGTCGCGCGTTAGTTTGACCCATTGCAAACACACACACTCTGTGTGTGTGCCGTGTCAAAGGTTCCGATACCTTAGTGGAGGTACTGAGTACTTTAGTGAATGGTAGTCAGTAGGCGCCTCGCGGCGTGTTTAACCTCACTAATGTCAGTGTGTTATATTTGCTACCTTGACGAAAGTCCCGTGGCCGAAAGCCGAGAAGAAGCGGGAGACAAAACACTCATCATTCATGGAGCATATAACAAATCCAGTTTTTCCCTCATCTCCCCGAAGTTACACATCAATTGGAGGTCCGGTTATAAAGGCAGTTTTACACAGTTGTACATACAAGTGGGTTATACCTACAAAATCACACGCAAAACACACATCGTGGATTATAAAGCGACCAAATTAAGAGGTGCGGTGGAGATACTCTAATGTAACCTTGACAGCCAACGCACACCCGAACTCGAAAGAACTTCTGGCACGAAAGAGTGTTTTTGCCGTCCTTGACGTTGACAGCCAACGCACACCCGAAATCGAAAAAGCTGCTGGCACGAAAGAGTGTTTATGCCGCGTTTGACCCCCGTGAGGCAGTGTTTTTGGCTTTTCGACGTGCTTTCCGAGTGTGCACGCACCCCACACAGCTCGTCGTAAATGAAAAATCATTTTCGATCGTGGTGAATGCTGCTTGGCTGTCAAGGTCCACGAATCCGTTCACTTTCGAGCACTGGGCGACGTTTGATGCACTGGCATGTTGGACGAGCTGTGTGGGGTACGTGCACACTCGGAAATCATGTCGAAGAGCCAAAAACACTGCCTCAAGGAGGTCAAACGCGGCATAAACACTATTTCGTGCCTGCAGCTTTTTCGATTTCGGGTGTGCGTTGGCTGTCAACGTCAAGGACGGCAAAATCACGCTTTCGTGCCAGAAGTTCTTTCGAGTTCGGGTGTGCGTTGGCTGTCAAGGTCCACGAATTCGTTGACTTTCAAGCACTGGTCGACGTTTGATGCACTGGCAAGTTGGACGAGCTGTGTGGGGTACGTGCACACTCGGAAAGCACGTCGAAGAGCCAAAAACACTGCCTCAGGGTGGTCAATCGCGGCATAAACACTCTTTCGTGCCTGCAGCTTTTTAAATTTCGGGTGTGCGTTGACTGTCAACGTCAAGGACGGCAACAACACTCTTTCGTGGCAGAAGTTCTTTCGAGTTCAGGTGTGCGTTAATGAACTAACTAATTTTCCTCGTACTGTATAAATATGTGTTTTGGGTACAGTGCGCGAGGGAAGTTGTTCGAATATGGTTGTCACCGTCGGGTGGACTGAGTTCTAGGCGTGGACGGAATCAGGGATTACATGCAGCTTCAACCATGG